AAGTTCTATTTTCACTCTACTATTTACCTCCCAAGTCTCATGCTCTCGCCACATCTTTAAATATAATTTCACTGTAAGTTCTTACTAATATCAGGAAAGCCATTTGCCAGAACTTTTTACTTAACTTTCCAGATGTCTTTAAAATTCCAGGAAACGGCATGCTACTCTTTCACTTCTTCAGCAAAGCACCGGAGCAGTAAACACGAGAAATTCTCGAGTTGGAATCTGGCCAAGTAACACCGAAAGTCTGTGAAGTTTGCATCTCACGATTTCAATTCTTTGTTTTCCAAAAGAAAACATAGCAGACGAATCACACCGGGCAGAGAGGAATTATTTTCGGGTCTGCAATTTGTCGTTTCTGAGACAAAGTACTATCAAAACCGAAGAAAGAATAAGAAGTAAGATAAGACTTGCAATGTTATATATATATATATATATATATATATATATATATATATATATATATACACACACAACGAGTATATAAGCGTCGACGCTGTGTAGTGGCGCCGTCCCGCCGCCGTGTTCCCGCTCCGTCAGCGCTGCTACGTCCTAATGTTCTCGTGCTGCAATCGCCCCCTCGTTATCATCTTCTAACTCAGCATAGATTCGTCCCGTCTAGTCCTGCTCGACCCCGTCACGCGTCACACGGCATCGCCCAGCAACAATGGAGCCCAGGAGAATTGGGGGCTGCATTTAACTGAAGCGCCTTCTGTGGAGAGTTACAAACCTTCTCCATGAAAAACAAACAAACACTTAGTTGCGTCAACTTTCGTGGAGATCTATCAAACGGTGTCGGTGTTTGTGGTCAGTGGATGTGTTAAAATTCAGAAGAGTATTACTGGAGACACTGTAGCAATTCTGGACGTGTGGGCTGTCACATTGTCATGCAGTAGTTACGCGAGTCCGTCGGGATGCACAATGAACATGAATGGGTGCAGGTGATCAGACAGGATGCTTGTTTCCGTGTCACCTGTCCGAGTCGATCTAGTACCAGTGGTCCATATTACTCCACCAACATACGCCCCATACCACCACAAAGCTTGAACCATTCACCAGGTTGAACAGACCCCTGTTGACATGCAGGGTCCATGGATAATTGAGGTTGTCGCCATACTCGCACACGTTCATCCGCTCGAGACAATGTGAAATGAGTCTCGTCAGACAACGCAACGTGTTTCCAGTCATCAACAGTCCAATGTCTGTGTTGACGGGCCCAGGCGAGGCGAAAAATATTTGGGTCGTGCAGTCATCAAAGGTAGCCGAGTGAGCTTTCGGCTCCGAAATCCCATATAGATAATGTCTCGTTGAATGGTTTGCACCCTGATACTTATTGATACCCAGCATTGAAATCTGCAGCTATTTGCGGAAAGGTTGCACTTCTGTCACGTGTAATGATTCTCCTCAGTCGTCAGGCCCGTTCTTGGACGATATTTTTGTGACCTCAGCGAGGTTTGATGTTTTTACCGGATTCCCCATATTCACGGTACACTCGTAAAATAGTCGTACGGGAAAATCAAATTTTCATCGCGACCCCATCTCTCTTGCGTCGACTGTAACACCACGTTCAAACTCACTTAAGCTGCCATCGTAGCTGCAATAACCGATCAAACATCTCTGGTTGTTTTATATAATCGTTGCCAAGCGGAGCACCGTATTCTGATTGGTTCCTGATCTCTTTTTTTTAATACGCATGGCTACACCAGTTTTTTTGGCACTTCAGTATGTAACAATTTGGTGACAATAAAAGTTTGAATAAATGAAGATGTTTCAAATTTGCAGTACCTCTGGTTGGACCACAACGAATGAAGAATATCTGTTTTCGAGAAAATATTGTATTTGGTGTAGGCGCTAGTGATGCTTACGGTATAAGTAGAGAGAGAGAGGAGAGAGGAGAGAGAGAAAGAGAGAGAGAAAGAGAGAGAAAGAGAGAGAAAGAGAGAGAGAGGGGGGGTCCAAAAACACACTTTTACGGTATCAGGGTCTTCCAAAACGTGTGTTTACGTAAAAATCTGGATGTCCATTTTTTTCAGAAATACACAACTTCCTCTACACAATGTACCCGAAAAATTAAACTTATTACAATATGTGTATTGAGTTGTGTTAGGGGTATGTTGAGTTGAATGAAAGAAAAATCACAAAAAAGAAAAAGTTTGTTAAGTGGTGTATGGTGCATAGAGCATATTTTAAGAATAAAAACACAATGAACAAAATTAGAATACTTTTTAAGAATGAATGCATTCACCGTAAGCCGTAATTAACAGAATTTGTAAATGTGGAATTTTGAGGAATAGTTTCGAACGACAATCCTACAGATACAACATTCCCACTTCGCGTTACCGACAATCATAGGATGAGGGAACAAAGTTCCTGGAAAGGGTCTAAAAATACGTTTAATAACTACTTTACAGCCAACAACAAGGTATGACATAGAAGTGACAACAAACACTGTTTTACAACATTAAATGCATCTTATCTCTCCGTAGCAGTCATATTTCAGCACTGAACAAAGATTTCACTTGGGTACACATCTGTTTCATCATTTGTTAGACTTGCGGGATATACGCGGTGCACTTTCGAGATTGGCATGCAGAGGTCTCGAAGGCAAGGATTTCTAATTGATGACCTTTTGGATAAAGTACAGTCTATTTTAATTTTCATGAGTGAGTTTTATAATTATAAATTAATCTGCACGCAATGAGTAAATACATTGATATTATTATTCGTTAGATAATTGCCAATTATGGTGTAGATGGTTGAAGAAACTAATTATACACTATTTTTATTTAATAATTTGCTAGTTTTTAACAAACAACAGACATTCCATCTATTCTGTAAGGTTATCAGATCATTTCAAGGAATCTGAGAATGCTATTTAACTTCAGGAATAATACGAAAATAATTATTGTTATTATTACCAGATGTGTTGTTAATTATTAATAACAGTATAATAATTTTACACAATTATAAATATATAGGGATCATTAGATATTCTTGCGTAGATTTTAATCGAGGACTGTCTCCCAGAAACGAGGTCGACTGCTACCTTACCGCACAGTGTGTGTGAAATATCTCTCAATCACGTACAATTTAACTGCAAAATAAATATTCATATCGGAAAATATCTTGTTCAGGAAAGAATTTGCAACGTGAGAACACACAAATCTTCTTCAGAAGTAAATTGCTTTCAATAATATTTTAATGTTTTTAATGATATTATCTACATGACAATTTATTGTATTTTCACAAGTGACTTGTTCGCAAAAGGTTCATTTACTACTCCATGTAGATGTGACGTAAGTAAAGATACAAGCTGAATCTGCCAATTTTGAAATCCAGAGAGCAGTAGGTACAATACAGCATTAAAAAGTTGTCAATATTTCGAAAACAATTTTGAATACTTATGAGTAATACATTTTTAATGAAATTTAAGTAATTTATAAAAAATATTAACAATAAATTCTTCTTTGAGTTTACGAGTAATATCTTTAGGAATTGAAGAGAGAATTTTTTTTAATGTGCGTGTGAGAAACAGTATGTCAGGAAAAAATAATAATGGCGGGGGGAAATTTGTTCTATAAAGAAGCACAAGAATTAGAGAAAGGTTTTAATGACCACAACGGTAGTAGTTGAGGATATTATAAACGAAGGAATTGGCGACAAACCGAAAATGTTCCGCGTCTTAATCTTGTGAAATGCAGAACTGGGATATTATGGTGATTTGGAGGAAATTTCTGAATTTCGGTACTATTTAGATCAACGTTTCACAAATTTTAATAATGTAAATAAATACATTAAGCGTTCAGGATAAAATGGAAATTTTGTACGATTTTTTAATTTTTCTAACAAAACAGCTTGTATCTTCATGCTGCTCCCTGTACCAACCATAAAGGTATTTGGAACGACTCTAAGATACCTTGCTGACGAGGGATGTAGTAAGTTGGAGCTCAAAAGCTAATCTGCCCGAGTTATGCGTGACACACGTACATAAAGACACCACGGCATAGGCGTGTGCACCCTCAAAGAAGAGAGAGGCCCTTATGGACCCTCTTTTCCAATACACGTTTTATACATATTTTATTTCACTTGTAAAAAATAAAATATAGTACAATGAGATTTAAATTATTACTCTTTCTGTAATAAAACGAAAAGATAATGCAACAATATACGGAGAAACTGACGTATTTGTAATCATCTCTGTAAATTTTTAATTATGTCTTTACGTTATGTATTACATTATTATCATGAATTGAACATTTTTACAATAAATACTATTTTTATCACATAAAGGTACAGGACCTCTTTTCAAAATTTTTCAAGGAGGCCACATCCTCCCCGCCTGTGTGCTTAGCTATGCACCATGATTAAAACCTTTTTTTGTCGCAGAGTTGCTCTAAATGAATTTTAGCATTGAAATCTCTACCTCGAATTTTCGGACGGATTTCCATAATTTTTTTTTATTTCCTTTAGGTATACAGAAAAACACGTGAATACTGTGGTGGAGGAATTGCCTTCCTCAATAGATCCTTAACTTATTTGAGATTTGTTTAGAAAGTTCTGTGTCGTTCAGTCACATTACTTGGGTACCCGCAACCTGTAAGAACTGTGCGTGTGCGTATGTAGAGAATATTTTAAAAAAATATTATTAATGTTAATGGTAGTGGTTTGTGTATGTCTCTATAGGCAGCTCCTGAATTGTATCATCTTGTTGTAGTAATAATAATAACGAGTGGTAATTGTGGTGTCTTGGTAAGTAGTAGAGTGGTAAGAGTCTTGGTGTAATAATAATAACGAGATTGACATTGCTAAAATCCTACAACCTAGCCGCTTCGGAGGGAAAAACCCAAATCCATTTTGGCTCGCTCGGGAACCCCCGCGAGCCCTGGAGACTCACCGTCACCCAGACCCTTCACAAGAGTGGCGACTTCCCAGGTCGGGTACCCTGTCGGCCGTCGCCACCGACCGGCCAACTTTAACAGCACGGGGAGTACACGTCAGGGATGACGTCAGCGGCGCGAGGCGTGGCGCGGCGAGGCGCGGGGCGATGGCGCGGGGCGGGGCGGGGCGAGGCGAGGCGAGGTGAGACGAGGCGAGACGTGCGTGGCGGGGCTTCGCGGGGCGGGAACGCGGGGCGGCGCGAGCGCGTCCGAAGCCGGGCGTTCGTTCAGTCCGCTGCCATCAGCCAGAGCGCGCGAACGTCGGCAGCCAGCAACGCACCCACGCTCCGCAGTCCAGTGTCGACCCGAGGAAGCTCTTTCAGGTGGGTGGAGCCGCGACGCGACGCGCTGTCCGCAATTTGCCTTCCCTTGCGCGAGGTCCATGCCCAAAACGGTTGTATGTTGCGTCGTTCATTGAACCTTACACTCATAAAAAGGCGGTTTTCATAGTTTTTCGTAGTTCATGAATTCGTAGTTGAGTATGTGTGTATGTGTGAGTGAGTGAGTGTGTGAAACGATGCTCTCTAAGTTTAGATATGACGGGTTCAGAAGTTTTGTCTTTTTATATGAATTTTGTTCGTCGAATATACAGTACTTTACAGAATATGTGCTAGGACTTGTGAGCGAAAAAACGTATAATTATTTTAGTTGTTTGTAATTATGGATTTAGCCTGCCACCTATTAACCCCAGGAATGTCATACATGCGAGTAACAAAATGCAGAGCGATAATTTAACTCCGTGCCTTGAAAAAGAGAATCAAGAGAATTATCACCCTATAACAGCATTTTCAGTCAAACGACGTGTATGGTGCTTTGAATACTCAGTTCAATAAGCGGATTGTCGTCTATGTTGAAACACAGTACAATAACATGTTGGTAGTAACATGAAAAAGGAAAATAAAAATGTTCTTCCAGGATAATTTGTTGAAATATTATAGTTTGTATTTTATTTCTTCCACGGGAGTTGCAGATATCATAAATATCCTAAAAATGATTAGTTTTTCTCGGTTCGTGTAACCAATTGTATGGACTATACCGGTCTCCTTGTGTTATGTTAGTTACGCCGGTATTCTGCAGGGCCGCTATATCAGTGTTGCAGATTATATTTAAATATACTTTTCGATTGTGTTTCGCATATTTGGACATTTATTCCCGTTTAGAAAGTGAACTTTCGGTCTGGTGGTTCTATGAATTGATCGCAATGGGGTGAGCAACAAGTTATGACACATTGCCTTTGAGCGCCTGGTCGAAAGTGAAAGTGAACTAGTTATATATTGGTATGTGTTGGCAATAAGCATGATGGAAAATTTAAATATGACTAACTGGTCAATATCTTTGTCACGCTCGAATCGAAACTTCGGAAGCAACTGCGCAATGTTCAGGGGCTAGTTGTTCTTAATATATTCAGTATCCATTTTCACCATTTTTAAGCGCCGCCTCCCAAATTATCGAATAAACTATTTCTAAAGCCGATTTCTTTAGCCTTCGATGTTTGTACGTGAATCCTAACAATAAAACGATAAGTGTTCATTTAATCTCTATTTATAAATTTTTACACTTAATGTTAATAACATTGACATCTGTTGAGTGGAACATTATAAAAGAGTATGAGCAGCTACAAAGACTGGTGGTGTGCCACACTGCGGATGATAGTTAACAGACATGGTTTTCTCTTGGTTCTTTGCTGATGATAGCATGTTCATGGTTCATTATGATGATAAAGCGAACAGACAACAATAAATATTTATGTATTCATCTTTCACTGTAGCCACCGCTCCCTTTCGCACTGAATCTGATAATTCAAACGCAGTCTTCTTTAAATTTCATTTTGCCAATTGTGACAATTTATAAATTAATTTTTAGATAATTTGAATGAAATATTGCATTAAACCTCTGAAGTTGCACATTTACTATTCTCCTTTAACAATAATGCGACGCATTGCCAGAGGAGCTTCAGAGATGTGTCTTCTCTACACATGATCGCATTTATTCATATTTTAACAATCATTCTCAGACATGCTAATGGTTTGTTTATAAAACGAATAAGTGAGACATTTACTTACTTTCTAACTACGATCCTTCTCGACTTATCATACCCAAATTTACTGTCACACTTGCTCTCCCTCGTGCTCCTCTCTCCCCCTCCCTCTCTTTCATCCTCCATCAACAGTTCACCCAAACCGCCCAGATTCCAGACAACCATTCGCACGCACTCGACCGTACATCCCAACTTCATTCGAATACACACACGCGTTCGGTTTCTCTCATTTACACGAGTACACGCGAGTGCTCACCGTCACGCACAAAGCTTGCAAGCAGCCCGCTCTTTGCGGGCCCTCTGCTCGGTGACATTACCGCCACCCCTTTCCAGTGAGAGGTTCCGCAGCGCCCTCCTCCGCGCAGACGCAAATAAACATCAAGAGCGGCCCGGGGAGCACAGTAAAAGCACTAATGGAACAACCGGAACGGACTTGCGCCGGAGAAAATCCGCGCCGAATCGCAAAGGCAGAATTCATTGATTGATTATTTCGTGTTTCCGCGTGCGTCAACTGCTTTGATCATTAGCCTCATAGTGGATGGTTTTTTTGGGGGGAGTTGGCGTTGATCTTTCCCGACTGGATGGTGAGATCCGGCATCGACCTATATGTCGACTTGCGGGATTTTCCCCCAACCATGTATCTCCCTTCAAGGGGGCTCAACCAGAACAAGTTCTAAACTCCTGACAAGTGTGATAGTATACAGAGAATGAAAGTGTATGTGTGTGTAATTGTAGTCTTCATTAAAAACTCTAGATGTTGTTCCATTTAAAAACACGCGAATGTCAGAAGAGTTTTCTTTTCGTTAATTCGTAATAAACGCTCATATTTGTTTCATTCCCCTTATAAGTGGTAATGAGTGAAATATATTTGGTTTCCTCTATCAGCTGCAAAGTGCGCGATGTTTGTATATTGTGGAGATTTTTATAAATGTAATTCTAAAAGCCATTGAAACTTTAAATATTGTTTTCAAAAACCATTAAAAAATAAAGCATTTGCATTATTCTGTGAAATCATTTTCTTTAAATAAATATTTTTTTAATACTACTTTACATTATTTTTATGAAATTTAGGAGTGCCGTAGTTACACTTCTGTCCTGTTTAAATTATATTATATTTTTCTATCTTTTCACGGTGAAGATTTCCACAACAACGCCTCTTCTGTCTTAAAAGTTCCAAAGGGTACATTTATTGTTCCTACACCAGGATTGGAATAATGAAAACTCGTAGTTCTTCGAAATGTTTGCGTTTGATCTAGACATGAGAATAGTATTAATGAAGGGCAATTTTCTTGTCAAGTTCTGAAACAATGCTAAAGGATTGCTCCCAGAGAATCGTATTCTTTAAATAACATAAAAGAAACGCCGCAGATTTTCCATCGTATTTTGATCTGCCGGTTGCGATCTTGTTTCACAAGACGAGTAAAAAGTAAGCATTCTTAACGGTACTGGATGGAAGGCGCCATTGTAAAGAACAGGTTCTGTGCTCTCAGATGTAAGTCGATACGACGAGGCTTGAATACAACCATCTTGAACCTGAGAGGGAAATATCCTGAACGTACTTTTCAGGAACGTTAGCCAAAACACGTCAGAGTTCCTTAATTTCTCGATCATCTTTTCTGCGAGGCTAGTTTAAAAATAATGTAGCACCACACGAGCGTATAATTTGATGGTGATGTCATCAAGCCGAAGGCTGGTGAGGCGTGCAATGAGTCGAGGATTGAGGCTTGCACATTTTACGTCCTCGTTTGTAGGCACGTGATCAAGGCTGTAATTTGCCATGGCTAGTCTCTGTGGATGATGGTAAGGGTGGCCAACGGGATGCATGATTATGACATTATCTTATTGATGGAATGATTGTACAGGTAATGTACGTGGTGGTATGGGGTGGCGTCTGTGACAATCATATTAAAACATACACGTCTCACCATAGACTCGGCTTTACCGAGGGTCATTCGGCTTGCACGTTATTCTACACCCCTGCGACACTGGCAAATGCGAGTAGTTCACATATAATCACAAGGTTGTACGCCCATTCGTATTACTCAACCACATTTACTAGTTACTTACATATCTGCAGTGGCATTTCCACATATTCTACCAACTAGAAATTTCGTGATAACTGCTTAACCTTAGGCTTGGTGAGTCATCGCAGTTTGAGTCATTCTGTAATTGTTTTTGAAAGCTTACATTATCATTTAAATACATATTTTACTTTTTTGTAACCACTGAGTGAAGTAATCTTAAGCAAATTTTGAGACTCAAATTACCTCTTAATTTTTGAAGTTTCATGCTTAATATTATAATGTCACTAAACATGCACAATATCAACCCATGGTTATAACAGTAATTCTAAAAAAATTGAATTGTAAATGAAATTATGAATTCTCAATCGTACCTGGACTGAATAATTCTGAAATAAGCGTAAAAATTGAAATTAATGACATTTTTCCTTAATAGTATTTTTGATATAGATAAATAATTGAAAACAACGTTGAAACTTGTAATAAAAGGAAAATGGATCTATCTTTTACCAATTAGTGCCGCACCTAAACCTTTTTATTGAAGAAATTAATTGTCTGGAATAATTCATTTTTCCACGCATTCAGAAGTTTCAGAAGTTTCCTTTACTTGCAAAAAAGTTGAAACACCGTTAGTTTTTATAAACTATTTATACCGTTCTTGGACAGCATTCTAAAGAAGAAGGTATTTATTTTGAGATATTTTACCCATATTACTGCTGAAAGGAAAATGCAAATGGAAATTTGCATGCATTGCAAATAATTTTCTTATCATAATTGCTCCAAATCTTCCTGAATTGTTAGTTGAACATATATGAAATACTTATTATAGATTTTTATATTATACCATGTGTCATTTATTTATCTTTAAACCTAATACTGTTTTATTGATATTTCATTTAAAATATTTGGAATATTTATGTAATTAATGAAATTACTCTATAACGTTAAATATTTAATCAGTACTAATTATAAGAAATAATTATCCCATGAAACAAATTTTTATATATTCGCATCATTTATTATCTGTCAAAGGGAATATGTTTACAGAAATATATGAAAGCGTCAACTCAAAAATGAATTTCATGTACTACTGTACTATTAGACAAGACTAATTGAAATGATGTGGACATTGTTACATTAAACATAAGCAATTCTACGTCAGAACCCTTTGAGGAAATTCGAGCGGAGTCTTGGAGAAAGTAAAATTCTGACTGAAACCGAACCCATCCAAGAATGGAAACTATTTGGTTCCGAGACACTTGACACATTTTCTGCAATTCATTGGGAATATTAACTCGCAATTCTCCCGTAAGCTTCGAGATCAGGTAGAACACTCTACAAGCGAAACCCGCTTAAAATGGGCGAAACTCTGCTTTGAGTGAACGACGTAGTAATACCGCCACCAAGCGTGCGTGAAAAGCTTCCTTTGTGTCGCGAACATTACGTTTTATTCGATTCTGGAATTAAATGAATGTGGTTGCTCTTTCATTTCTCGCCATTTTCATCTACCACCACTAACGTTTGTGCGCATTCATAAAAGTGGCCACCCTTGAGTCAGAAAATTAAATGCCTCGCCTTGGATGGTGTTGATATTGCTTGCTTCATAACACGCTGTTATGGTATTTCCACGAATATCGTTTGGTCAAAAATTTAAGTTTTGCCTTCGTAAAATATTTGGAATAAAACGTGCAAAGGAGTAACCCAGACGTTTGAGAATTTAAGTTTTGCTATTTGTGATTTTATTATTATTTATTTATTTATAGCCACATTGACATAAAGGTCATTAGCGACAAAATAGATAAGTACATTATTTGTGATTTGTAACAGCCGTTGCCGGTTTTCTCCGCCCATGAAAACAACTGTTTGTGAAAACGTATTTCTTTACGTTTTATAGTGTCAGGTATGTAAATGTATCTCGTTTGAACGAGCTAAACCAGATTCTTCTGACGTCCTGTCTATTGTGGAAAAATATGGTATTGTACGCCACAAAAACAATTCTGACAATAGCGTTTTCATCACTGCGGTACACTTGAGAATTGCGAACAACGCCAAACTTTTTCTTTCGCCTGCGACGCGGCCCGTCAGGCCGGAGGTGGGATTTGTGGGCGTTCTCCAGAGAAAACAAATGACGGCGATTCGGACACCCTTCTCCCTTCTATTCAACACTACCGTCATGAAAACAGCGTTCTAATTCCGTTCCACGACAGGGGAGGAGAAGTAGAAAGTCCGAAAAACTGGTCGAAGAGAAAGGAGTAGGTGAAGGATTCTGCAAAAATTAGTCAATTCACTATATTTTATTATTGCAGTAGGATGGTACATTATGACGTTATAGAAGTTCAGGATTTCCAAAGTTGAACATTTTAAGCGTTTGGAAATATTACTGATCAAAAGGGAAAAACGTTTTTCTGTAAAATAGTAATTCACCGATTATCATTTAATTTGTGTTAATGGAATATCAAATAAAATATTATTACACGGCAAATATACTCGGATAAAATTTTGATAGAGCGGCATCTTTAACGTAGTACAGGAAAATTCTATCTAAACAAAATATTACAAAATTATGTAATTATCATAATCATTCATGAACGACAAGGGCATTTAAATAGTTTACACAGACCTAAGGAATTAATTATATTTTGCAGTTCGAAATTAAACAGATGTCTATTCCTATTTATCATGGGCTGATTTGAAATCTCAAAAATAAAAAGCATTTTACGTTTGAACGAAGTATACTGTGACTGCATAAAAGAACACTGCAAATTGAAGAGACATACATTAATAAAGATAAAAACACAGAGCGAGACCAAAGAGGCCAATCCCAAAGGACACCCCTCGCCCACGGCACGGGAGGCTCAAAAGACAGTGAGCGCCTGATGACAGACAAGGGACGATCGTTACGCGCAAAGAGCGGTGGCGTGCGTGCACGCGATGCGCGGCGCCGGCGCGGGCATCGAACGGGCGACCTCCCGTGCGTCAATCCCACGCCCTCTCGCCCTCAGGCGCGGATCGACCGGCGCTCTGCGCGATTCGCTCTGTCCATTTGTCGCGCGCTCGTCGAGGCCGAAAATGTAGCGTCGCAAAAGGGCATCGTTTCTAAGGGGGCTACAAGAGGCGGCTTGTAGTGCTACTTTTCTTCTTTTCTTTATGAACCAGCGTCCTCATGTACAGAGGGAATGAATGATACTTCGTCAACCGAGGTCATTAGTCCCGCAGGTAGTGTATGTTATATCCCGATATGTGGAGGGGGTTCAATCGGGTTCAATCTCAGTTCAATCGGGTGACCCGGCCCAAGGTTTACACTTAGGTTTGCGAGAGCTCCACCTCCACCAGGTATCTTCCCAAGCGAGGCACCACCCCAACCCGAAAGAGCTCTAGGCTTCCCATTGGTCTCTGGACATATGTGATGAACTGCATCATGTGCTAGCGAACGAGCGCGTGTGTGTGGGGGGGAGGGGAGAGGATGTGATAAGGATGATAAAGGAAAGCTCGCGAACGCAGTCTGCGGCATTTGCCCGCTTTGATCGGAGAAACAACAGAAACGTACCCATCAGAGCAGCTGGCCGCTGAAATTATCTTTCAGACAGTGGGTGAATTCGTGTACTATAATGGACATCACAGATTCAGTATACTGACAGATTGACCTGTACAGTTTACACGTAAAAGTAAATATTAGCGTTACCTTACGGATACAGGTTCCTGAATTGTATTAAGCCTGTCTTGATTGATTTTGCGTTTAAACCTATATCTGTTTCAGTTAAACCTGCAGAGGTGAAATTTGTGGAATTACGCACAAAATGAGGTAAACTCGGAGGAGTAAAACCTTGGCATCTGAAAGCGCTTTGGGAAATGAATAAAAATGAGTCGCGCAAACTGAGATCGGATAAAATTGTCACGTTTCCAGAACGAATATTAGCTCCTTAACAATGTAGGATTCTCTCCACTCCGCATACATTCAATACTCCGTATACTAGAAATGTTGAATTCCCTCTACATGATAGAAATTGTAACGTGGAATAGCCGTCACCAAGCGGTAGTAAAGTACTAGTACTTTAGACTGCGTGATCGTGAATTGAAACTAGAATTGAAGTTTACTAGTAGCCGACAGCTATGATTGATCGTTACTATGGTTTATTTCGATCTCTAGTATACGGATGCCAAAACCGTATCTTTATCAACTGACCACTATTCTTCCTTCCTAATCCTTATTTCTTATTTTAACACGTTAATTAAACACTTCACACAAACGCGTGTGTCAGGAGCGTAGACGGGAGACATCGATTCTTCTACAGAAGCAGTGTTCCGAGGGCGCTGCTAGGAGATAAAATCCGCACTCTTTCGCCTTCAGCCTGCCCCCAGTTCTGGCAGGTGGATTCCACTTACTAGGCACAAGAGTCAAAGCCGTTTCGTCAAATGAGTTATCTAAAAAAATTAAACCGAACAGGGTTGCAACAATACTAATCAACGTGAAGGAGGCCGAAAGAATTCCTGAGAACGGTTATTTTTTGTGCCTTAGCAGAAAATTATGACTTAATGAATGATAATACGGATGATATGGAGGGCGGTTTGTCTTCGCGTTCAATCCACAATTACATCTGTGGTCAGAAGCTTACATTTTCTAACGAAAAACTTCATTCTGTGTTATTCTGTTCAACATTGGCTCACGTGTTGGTTGCTGCCCAGTATGTATTTGGAGTTGAATGCGGGAACTTTCGGGATCCTAGTAGAATACAAATCGGTTAGGTACTCGTAAGAGCTAATGTCCTTTGCCTTCATTACATCGTCCATTTCCATAATCATAATTTGACATATTCATACATTTTCTCCATAATCATGATCATCTATATCATCTGTATCATTGTTCATTGTCTGTTTTGAGTCACAAAACCGCAGTATCTCTGGAGTCAAATTGAGGATGAAGATTTTGATAAAAACGAACTTTGTAATGTTACTTTGTTTAAAGTCACATTAAATAAAAAATAAGTACTTAAAAGCTTCACACAAATTTATACTCGTACTTGAATTGGAAACTTTCTGGTAGATTTTATGTTTCGGAGGATCGTTATGAAATTATAATGGGGCAAGGTAGAAATTCTCAGTACCAGTCTCGATTGCAATTCAGCCTTCGCAGAGAGGTCATTATCTGCGAGAGTTTTGAAGGTTCTTGGCACGCATGACGAAATATCAAGATTTCTTCCAATATCTGAATGCTAATAATATATTTTCACAAAAACACGTCTAAAAAAAGTAATACAAACCGTCGTCTTCATAACAAAAAAAATATGCAATTAAACTGTTGAAACAGAACTATCTTCCTATTTTTGCGTTAGAATTCATTTTCACGCAATAATCGGCAGTGCCAACAATAAATCATATTCTTTGGTTAACATACAATTTCATGTGATTATTGCAAGATAAATCTGTCGAGCGTCTGAGAAGTTCAACGTTCATTACACATGTTTTGAGAATTGACACATAAAACAAGCATTTAAAACTACTGAAGGGACATTGAAAATGTTTTTGTTTAATATAACATTCTTAGAATCTGAGAATATGTGCTATGCTTCTCATTTGCTTACAGATCAGATATGTTAATTAAAAAATAGGTTTCCCGGTATTTTCGGTTCGGTTTCCCTGTAAATCGGTTTCGGTTATTTTCTTGTTCGCAGTAGATTTGGCTCATATTTTTTTTTTCACTTGCGAATCGCCTTCCAACGCAACGTTCCTGTTGTGGTTACGTGTCGTGGCGAAAATGGGATTGATATACACCGCAACATTCTTTCTTGCGGACGTTCGTCAGAAACCTTTGTTTTTTTTCTCAGGATAGTTCAGACGAAAAAAATTTGAACTGTTTTGAGAGTTAAGATAAAACCCTTCATCTCAAATTAAAACTGAACTCAATTCAATTGTAAAGGAACGGTCATTTTTTTCTTTAATCATAAAAGGTAAGAAATTTATTTTTAGAGACACATTATTTTACAAAAACTTTCAAAACAATCTTATCGGTTCATAAAAAGAGTAATTAAACGAATGCCCGAACCTTTTACATTTAAATATGTGCCTTATTCACATGATACATAGTTGTCGGATTATGCATATTGAATTTATGATGCACTTACACAGAGGAAGTTAGTATCTTTCTATTCAACGTAACTGTGAGCTTACAATATACACATTTTTGTGAACTTACAGCAACTTGTTTTTGTTTCGCTTATAATTAACTTCGAGGAAAGGTTAATGAGTTATTTTACTTTCCAAGGAAGGTGACTCACCAGTGAAACAAACATTTCAGCTCTAAATACGCTTCAGGGAGTACTAATTATTAAGCACGACGTAATCTCCAACAGACTTTTGCTTATTCAAAATACATGCATTTTTATTAGTTTGTTTCAAAACAACACGAACCTGAAAATGGGAGAAATATCAGCGCATTTTACACAAATTATCTCGACACAAAGCGTAAAGCATTATTTCGTCAATATGAATTCATTCTCGAGCAAAATAGTTCAGTATGTACTTCCCTATTACATATTTATGATGCATTTGTACTCGGTAAGTCATTGCCTTAATATTATATTCCCATTTATAAATTTGAATATGAATTAGTTCTAAATAGTGAGTGATCATAGACAACTAGTCATTAGGCGTTGGAATGAGACTTTCTAGGGCATGACAGCAAACCTACACAACCACTCAACAAATGAGGAAAGGTATTGACTCAAATCAGAGGGAAAGTATTAACAACGATTTTCTCACCAAAAATGTCACCACATTTATAAAATTTCATTTAAGATTTTAAATATAAAACATTTTATTGATACATGAGGAATGAAAAGCATATGTGCTAGGCCTTGAAAGATTGTTATTAATTATTATGAATAAGTAAATTCTGTGTGCATAATTTCTTAAACAAACAACCCGTTCATATAATGGTTGTGAGCTTGGGGTCTTCGGGTAGTTCCGACAACTGTCGTAAGCATTCTTAGAAAAATAGATGTTTTGGTTTCCAATTATTTCTTCTACGTCAAGAAAACAAATTTTCGAAATTTAGGTGAAAATTAATGAATGGTTACACAATAAAACGAGAAAGAAACAAACTTGAAATCTGGTACATTTCTGTGAAATATGTTTAACATATCTATTAATATAAACAAACATCTATTTATATAAAAATTAATATAAATAACTATAAAATATTATTTCTTATTTGTAATATCAATCGATTTCTTTGAGAAAAATCCCCCAAACGCACGACTGGCGTTCAAACGGTCGAACGCTTGGCCCGGGCGCGGCGCGGCGCGGCGCGGCACGGCGCGTCGGTTTGAGAGAGCGGGAAACCTGCTCCAGCGAGGCGGCGCGGCGCAGCGCGGCCACGCGGTCCTTGCCCCGCGCCCGCAACAAGGCCTAGCGTAAGCCAAGGCCGCGCTTCTGAGGTGCGCCTCCTGCGCCAACGCCGCGGCCAGCATCATTCTACAGCGAGTCTCCGCTTTCCGTCGCCGCCACTCTCACCATCGTCTCGGGCATCATCTCCATCATCGCTGTCGCCGTTGCCGTGTCACCACCACCACCACCACCGTCGCATTAACTGTCTTACTGAAATAAATACCGCAACCTCCGCCCTCGACTCCACTGCGACCACGCCCACCGCTGCCGATGCCCTTGAATCCATATTTCGAGCAGCTTTCCTTCACTACCATCATCAATTGCTGCCACCAAGTCTGGTCCATCATAACGGTCTCCTGCGGTTTCGTCCACTCCATCTCCACCTCCATTGCCGTAGCTACGACTCCAAGAGCATCCCCACTGCTCCATTCGCACCTTCGTTTAATGCTGCTACGAACGCATCTGCCTTGGCATCTATCCAGATTTCACCGTCGTTTCCACTTCCTCCCCCGTTACCGCCGCATCTTCATCATCGACGCTAAATCTCGGCCGTCACTCCTGCAATATTATTTAATAGCATCAACGCCACGTCCTGATAAAACTGCTAGCACCCTCGTTGCCACTTCCAACTAACTCTTCTACCAACACTACCGCCACCAGCGCTACGCCGCAATCTCTGCAGCCTTTGATTCGTCGGCGTCACCGTTAGGACCTCGTGCTGGTACTCCCAGCGCCGCCTCCACCTTGGTTTCCTCCTCCATCACCTCCACCGCCGCCGCCAACGCCGCGCCGCCTGGGCGAGAGGCCCGCGAAGGGCTGGCTGCGGCGCGGCGCAGCTGGCGGGCCTTGGGCCACATCGCCGCACTTGCTAAGCGAGAGCACGCACGCCGCACCTGGGGTGGCGACTTCCTCCATCTCTGTAGATTGATACACTAATGCTTTTTTTTCTGTTCCTCGGGCAACGCAGGTTTCCCCGAGGGGTCTTTCTGTTCAGGTCTGCATTGTTCTCGTTTCGGCAGCCCTCAGATCTCAGGATCAAAATGCGCCAGAGGAAACACAGGTTCGCAGCATCTGAATCCTAGGGCTTTACTTGTTGGTGGGGTTGGTCATGGACCACAGTACCATAGTGGCAGACCTACTGAATCTCTTTATGGGGAGAGTCTGCCCAGGATAGCCGCAGGCACATGTATTGCTACAGGGGTCACGCGCAATACTTCAAGCTCACATTCGGGAATACAAAATTTGAAAAAGAGATGACACGACCCGTTCGACTAGCAAAACGAACTTGTTCAATTTCTCCGTTTGCCAATCAAACAAGACTAGTTTTGTTTTCTTATCGCCAATTACCAGGATTAAGGATACACAAGGAGAATAAATGTTACTAAACAACAGGCTGACTCCGGGACATACATTCAGCCCACCTCGGCCATGTCTAATACACGTGATCAATTTTGTGGCATTTAAGAATGTATATTGATTTTAAGCAAAATAAATCATCTTAAATACGCTAAGAAACTTTGTACTTTCCTCATTTGGTATAATACATCACGAAAAAATATGACGCGAATATCAAAATTGACATACGTAGCCTTGTAGCTTGAATTGTACTAGTTGTTGCTTGTCAACAGAATTATCATCACTTATATACTCTTTGAAAGCAAATTTAATTTATTTATTTGTTTGGAACACAATGCGAACGACATTTTGCTACAAACTGAAAAAAAAATGACTTCATTTGAAACATGAGAGCTGTTAATTGATTTGTTCATCTGAACAATGCGTGTGTCTAGTGCTATTTTTTCACCAGAGAGTCTGGTGCTGAGATTAGGACATGTTGTTTTGACACAGGTGACCCGCAGCTAGCTGTGAATCGTTGCGTGTTGGAGCTCACCAAGGTCAGATCGATGAATCGACACGTTTCATGAGCATACTAAGTGCGAAGCGCGTTCCTGCGAAGGAAATATCAATGCGCAGTAGGCACGGCATGTTATCTATGACAAAAAACACTGCATTATTCAAAGCAAAAAGATTCTTCTGTTTTTCATAACTTTTTACAAAAAAAAATAGTTATAGCAGTCTTTTAGAATGGTTCTTAGGGTTCGTAGGAATTGATATTCTCTTCTGGTTGAAAAATGATTAGAGAAAACACTATTACATTTAGTAAATTCGTCATTATGAAAATCAAAGCAAAATAACCTTTTTACATTTCTAGCAAGTACAGAAAAATCTGCAACTTTTAAAACATGACGCAAAGTGTTTTTAGAACTAGAAAGTGACTTTATTTTGCCATGGAAGCCAGATCAATCATCAGTTTTGATCCGCAAGGGAATCATGTAAAGAGCAGAATTTAATAATCGTTGAAAATTTTATTATTTTCTTGAACATTATTATTTTAATTTTACTAACTTTTATACTTGCATCTAGTACATGAAAATCTCGTCGCCGACTATGCGGATTGACATCACATATTGCACTTTCAAAACTAATGTCCGTGGTATTATGTAAGAGTCGTGAGCATATTCAAGGGCATTTTATTATATAAACTTGTTCTCTATACATTGAAACGGAAGAACAGGAAATTCGATATCATAAATTGCTCTTTCGAATGCACCAACTTTGGTGCACGGTCGCAAATGTTGTGATGTAATCCATCATAATAGAGGCGGAATTACATCAAAGGAATTGTTTAGTTTTCTCCATTTCAGCTAATAAATCCACTAAAAACAGTAAGATTCGGTAATCAGTGCTTTATAACGTTTTCCACGAAAGTAGGATTTTTTTAAATTTATGAAAGTTCTCTAAGAAATGTCATTGCGAACCTTGAAATGATCAATGAATTTTAAGCAATTTCAACCGAAATATCACTTCCCTACGTCAATGATTTACTACAATAAATATCTTGACAGCCATTACCGTACGTCACTGCTTGAGAGCGATAATTTCACGATCACTAATGGGTACTTTCGAACGTTTACGTAGGGTGTCTGAGAATATACTAGTTGAGCGTTTTCCCGCTGGGAAATCGGTTTTGATGTCAGCCTTGGAAATAGTTTTTATACGCAGATTAAACAAAAACGGAAATAAACTACACTCAATGAGAGTGCTGTCGGGGAATAATTTGAAGGTGGAGCCCACCGTCATTGCAGTGAATACTTGCGTACCACGTGGGCACGGCTGCGACTGTGACAAAAACGAGTTTGCTGTTTAGAATAATTATAAGTTCTTTTCCCTGTAAGTATTATTTCATTGTATGAAAATACTTTGAAATGAAATCGACATGAGTAGCGCGGCGTATAAATGTACGAAGAAATTCATTTGAATTCATTGAGTTAGCCTCTTCATAAGGAAATATTAAGGCAATATCTCAGGAAGATTATGTTTTCTTAATCAATAATTAATAATGAATATTGAAGACGAACAAATGTTTGTTATTTAATAAAATAGACCATTTCACATTGTTGAATTTGTTATACCCCCAAATTTATAAGTATTTTTTAAAAAATGTTAAAAGAATGTTATGTAAATTTTAATTTAATTTCGATTATTTATACCAAATCTTCACTTGTGCAAAATATAATCCGTTTAATCTCTAATTTAATGTGTTTGTTAATGACATTTAGAATTCATTTAATACCGCTGTTCTTTGACTGTGAACCGTTCCGTGTTTTGATAAACTAATATCAAATATCAATTTAGGAAACTGGACGAAAATCGCTTCCATGTGGATAAACAAACCTGCTGTGGTGGATTTCTACTTGTTTTTTATCAGGAAAGTCACATAATCTGACCTGTCTGAATAATAAGGGAAAAAAAGAAGAAAAAAAAAGAAAAAAGAATCGGACTCGCATTTTTACAAACTTTAAACTACGTTTTCCATAATGGTAATTGATTCTAAACCGACCCACCTATTAACGACTGGAAGCACAGTTTAGGTCTGACTTAAAATTCAATTTTTTTGTGTTTGGATCGTAGCTCCACAATCTGGGTTACTAATAGTTATTGGCTAGTGACGACTGGTCGAGGCTTCTCTCGATAATCAGACTACGCCCCACTGCCTGAACCGTATCCCATTACTTCAAGGCATTGGGAGAACGTCGCAGAATACAGGAGTTTTTGAAAAAATACGAAGATGTGTTAAAAACTTTGCTACGGAATGTCTAGAAATATTTTTTTTTTAATATTTAAAGAAAGAAAAACAGATTGGCGCTCTTTTCTTCCCGAAACAGTGTGTTCAATGTGACCGGCACGAATGAGTCATTCACGCTAAGCGTAGGCGGAGGCTGGTGGGCGACTTTCGCGGACGCCCTCCCAAGCTCCCTAGCACCCGCGTGAACTTCGACCTCGGGCTGCGTGCGAGGTCACGGGCGAGTAGGCCGGCGATCGGTGATCGCCTGACTCCGGAAAAATTAAGGGAGCAGATGTGCTAGAAAGACCTAGGGGTCACACTCATTTCAGGCAATGCCCACGTTTCTGTCTAATTAAAAGCTCGAGGGATGCACATAGTGGACATTGGGCCAGTTTTCAGGGTCCGTGCATTAGACTGATCTGTTGACTTTAGGGGCTTAAGGCAGGTGCACCGAAGTAGGAGTTACTCAAAGGGATTCGCATCAGGTGTGAATGTTTTTTAGCTGAAACTTCATCCTATTCTTATTCTATGGTCTTACCCGTTTCTGGAAATATTCGCTCGTTTCGGAAAATGTATTTTGAGTCTACGGACGCAGATATCGCTATCGGGAACTGCCTCTCTATTGCCGTATAAAGGTACAACAGCCGAGACGGGCCCATGGGTTACCTCGAGTATATTTAAATGTTCTATCGGAGATGGGACTTACGACTATCCGTGAGGTTAGGCTTAGAGTTGGGAGGGGCCCGATGGGCTCGACTTGACACAGCCGAGCGAAGAGGTAGAAGGTTCCCCCGCCGCTAGATGGCAACCGAGTAAAGGAGTCGGGGAAACTATTGAGGTAGATCCGATCGTCATTAAAAAGGGGACAACGAGGACAACGACTTATATTTCAGCGAGTCCTTGGGCCAGCATGATCCTTGAGGCGGGATGCGGAGGCAGCGTTGACGAGAAAGCGAATGCGGGTGAATTAGGTTAATATCTGCTTGAGCAAGGGCGATACCTCACAGTTTGCGGGGCTACGACCGTTTGCATAGTGGGGCGAGGGCGCGCTGTGCCGGAGCGACGCCGCCCAACTCAACCCAACCCGGCGCAGCGCGGCGTGGTGCGGAGCGGCACTACGCGGTGTGCGGTGGTTCGGAGCGGCGCGGTGAGGCGCGGCAACGGGGAGCGAACTCTAGGTACCGCTGGATAACGGAACAGCCGCCGCGCCGCACCGATCGAATTGCGCAGTGTTCGATTCGAGTAAAGCTCTCGGGGAAAATTGACGCTTCGTGAACTTCAACAGCATAGTCGGTGGTGTAGTAGCTAACCGTGGAGGAGGATTTTTGGGGCAGACGCATATTTTATTCCTTCTCCATATACAGATTTTATATTTTATTACAATCCATATTCATAGGGCTAACCTCTTTCCCCAGCCGTATTACAAATTAGACAAGTCTTTGAGGGGGCTATCGACGACAAAATAAAACCACCCGGAATGTAGTCACTCACAGAATTGTATTGTCTTAACACACAACAGTTCATATTAACACAGAGTGGCTCGAAGAAAATTAATGCAGTAATGTTGCCTACCAAGCGCACACTTGAATTAAAAGAATAGGAATCAAAGAAGTCATATTTTCAAAAAGGCCATTGTATCGGGGGAAGTTGGCGCAGCGGAATTGAAAAATTGGTGAAATTACCTACCCCGAAATGTTAAAAAGTTGCAGGCTGCTCTTTTCGGTCGTTTCTTCGGCTCCCTCCGATTCTAGGCGGATGCAGGTGCAGCGCCTTAAACGAGCCACGGACCACATGCAATACTTAAATTAGTTTTTTGAGCACCTTCATTGGGCACTTCCCTGACTCTAAGAAAATCTTCGACAAATGTCGGAGATCCAGGATCTATAACCTGAGCGACCTATGTCAGTAATTCTTGGTGGATGACTCAAGGGGCAAACAAAAGAAAAGTACACTATAATTTAAACGGATAGACACTTAGTTTTGTAATCATACTTCGAATGTAGGGTTTATACATTTTATATTCTCAATTACGGTTGCTATTAATTCGCATTTTTTAATGGAATAAAAGGGTACTACTAAACATTCAGAAATATATAAAACTATAGCAACTATAGAATTGATAAAACTCTTAAATACCAAACACTACGCTTCAAACCAAGCTTGCTTTTCTCTTTTCTACTCACAATACTACCTCTCCATAGCATTAGGAGGTCCACACAACAAATTAATCGTTCTTATAAATAAAACAAACTGCTTCAAAGCTTGTTGTAATCGAATACTTTGACCTCTCTGTACAAAAGGAGTTGTGAACAAAGCACCGTAGATTTACAAGATACTCTACTTATTGTTCCCTTTTTCATGCTAATCAGATTTCAAAATAGAGCGATGTCAAACACACAGTCGTTTAGTTGGGTGTTAATTACTACTTCTTTTTCCAGAGTTCTATATCGAAATTAAGTTTAAAAATTCTCAGTTGTCATGGAACATGTGCGTAGTTTGTGAGATGAACCGTACATCAAAATACTAGTAGTATATGTTTGTAGAAAAATAGTTTAAAGCGTTACATAATAAACATTGAGAATCACGTAATGATGACCGGTACTATCATACTTTTAATATTTCCAGTATTTTAATTCAATAGGCAAAGAGTGCAAACGAAGGCACGAGGTACGGCTGCAGTTGGAGGAAGCAAAGAGGGAAAAAAATGAATGAGAGAATCTGCAATGCGAGAGAAGGCACCCTGTGCGCATTCACCGACTCGAACACCGCGAGGCTCCGTCTGCATCACAGGCACGTGTGAGCCCTGACAGGGACATCCTGTTGCGGTTTCCGCCGCGGCCTCCCGCGAGTGGTCAGCGACCGTTGGCTGCCTCACCGCCTCTGCCTCCCACCGTCGCGGTACATAATGCTCCCGACCTCCGTTGCACATTACAATAACAAAACGGGATAGGAAGTCGCCCTCGTCACGGCTCCCTGGCTTATCCGGTCAATGTAGCGGGGATGGCGAGCGGCGGCGCGTGGGCGAATGGGCACGGCGCTGATGGAAGGGAAGGGCCCGTAGGGGGCGACAGGATAGAGATCGACGTGGGGGCGCGGCGCGGCGGGGAGGTCGAGCGGCTGGGAGGTGGAGCATGGCAGGGAGGTGGAGCGATGTGGGGCGGAAAAGTGTGCGGTGTGGCGGGGAGTTTGCACGGCGGGATTTTGAGGGCTGCGGGAAGGCGGAGCGTGGAGGGTAGGCGAAGAGTTGGGGAGTG